GCCAGAGAAAGATAAAAGAAATCCAAATTGAGAAGGTAGAAGTAAAACTATTGTTATTTGCAGATGACATGGTAATATACATAGAAAATCCTTGACTCCATTGAAAATTTTAATTGCCCTGTTGATTCATAACTTTCTATACATTGAATATAAATGGGTTTGAGTACATTTAGGTATAAGAGTTTGTGTGTGTGTGTAGTAGTAGTAGTAGTAGTAGTAGTAGTAGTAGTAGTAGTAATAGCAGTAGCAGTAGTAGTAGTAGTAGTAGTAGTAGTAGTTTGGTTTCCTCTGGTTATCAAGTTTTCAGTTCTTAATATATAATTCCTACATTTGGAGATTTTAAAATGATTTTCAATACTTTCAACCTCCTGAGAATCACAGTAGGTAAAGGTCTAGCTAAATGTTCTCATTCCTGATTGCAGTCATGTGTAGATAATACATTTTTAACTAGGATAGAGTTTTGAGGTCACTTCTGAGATTAATCCAAATGTTTCAGATAGAGTGTTAGAGTTGCTTATTCATATAGCTGTAAATTAGAACCAACCAATATTTTTCATAGGCTTTCAAAATGAATTCTTTAATCTGTCAAAAGTGTACCTTTTGACAGTACAATGTATAGTAATTGTGAAGATTGTTGAAAGCTACTTTATCTACACATTAATAATTCAAATGAATGAGGTTATTGGATATATCTCAAAGGCTATTTGTCCTTGAGTTGCCACTTTAAGGTTCCCGGTGTTATGTATTCATTTCAATCTGAAAGCAGCAGTCAGAGCAGATATAGGATACAAAAAATATGATCAGAAGTCAGGAGTTTTTCCATGTGTCAAATTCAGTGTTGAGCTACTGAAAGTTTTAACATCCAAATTGTGAAATCATTTATTTTATTCCAGCATTCCTCAGAAACTATAAGTTGCTACAAGATGCCAGCAGTTTATTTAGACTTAAAACACACTTGAAATGTTTGTCTTTCCTTCCCCCGCGATTGTTTGTTAATTGCCCTCAAAAATGACCTCAGTGGAGAATGCATGTGAATGCTTATCTAGCAGTTCACTAGTAACATTTAAGGAATTTAATTGTACGAGATAAACATGACAGGCAATTATTAAATGTTGATACACAATGGAAAATAAAAATGGTGTACTAAGTATTTTTTCTTTATCACAGTAGCTAATTTGACTCTTTAACAAATTAATACATTGAGTTCTATTTGAGAGGTGTTTTCTGAAATATGCTATTGGAAAATCAGATATCAACATCTTTTATCTGCTTAGCTGATAATATGCAAATTAGCCTGAAGTCATACATTTTAAATCTCACTAGTTCCATCATACTTCAATAGGTGAAATGGAAAAACAGAATTTCCATTTATCTGTTACTCTGTAATATTACTAAAAATCACATGATTATGTTTTCAACTATAATTACTGAATAATAAAAAGCTAGAGGTTGACTTTTGCAGACATTTGTAAGTTTATCAGGTGGAAAAATTGCAATTCTTCTAGAAATATTTCAATTAATTGAATTTCAAAAATTCATTAAATTGAATTTCAGTAACTGTCAATAAATTCAATTTATTGAGAAATAATTGGGATTAAAAAATTCTTTGTTCTTTAAAACTTTAAAAATTTGGCCAAAGAATGGCATTAGTTTGAAAGTGACTTTAAGAATTTTTACTGCTTTATTCTGTTTTTGGAAATATTTTTATCAAACACAAAACAAGTTATTACTGGTCTTAGTTTTTAGTTATTAGGCAATTAGGCATCTCATAACATTTTAGATAACTTTATTTACTGGCTATGCTGTATGAAGTAAGGGGATATATTTCAAAATGTGACTTAATTCAAAATAGTGAGGTGGGTTTGTTTTCCCACCTCCAGCCACAATTAAAGTCAAAACAGAAAATTTAAATAGGTCATTGCAATCTATTTGAAGAATAGTTCTGCTTTTTAAAATTTCAGTAAACACTATAATCTTTTTTATTAGACTTCTTTCTATCTGATTATCAACATTCCAGATGCCTTCTTCAGTATCCGAACTGCGTTCAAAACCTAGCTTTGGTGTCTTCTTAATGTCTTTAATGTTTCACAACCACAAAACCAAAATTGGTATATCTGCCTTCTAAAAGATTATGTGAGACTAATTCCTACTTTTGAAAATACTTTCTTTGCATTCTGTTCTTCATACCAAATTTGTCATATAATTACTGGTTTAAATAGTCCTTTTATACTTCAGTTACAAGTAGGTGATACAGGATACATATCCTCTGACAATATCAATTTCACACCAGAAATACATACATATGTTCACACAAAAACAAAGGCAAGAATGTTCTTAATAGTATTGTTAATAACATCTCCATACTGAAAACTGCTCAAATGCTTACAAACTATAGAATGAATAATTAAGCCATAATATAACCACGCAATAGAATACTATCCATTAAATGGAATAGTCTTCAGCAATATGGCAGAATCTCACATCAAAATGTGGGGGTAAAGAAGGCTAGCACCCATAGATATATACTATGATTCCATTTACATAAAATTTTCTAAAGTAAAACTATTCTATATTATGTGGAAAGGAGTTTTTTTCAACAAATGTGTCTGGGATAGCTTCATAATCCCATGCAAAGGAATAAAGTAAAACTCCAACTTTCGTCATATAAAAATTATCACAAAATGAATCATGTACCTAAAATAGTGCTAAAACTATAAAAGTCTTAGAAGAAAACAAAAGTGTAAATCTTCATGATAGATGGCCTCATGAGCCATGGGCAGCCTCCAGAGGGTGGAGGCCTAATCATTAGTTCTGGAGAGACTTCCCTACCTTTTTTATCTAAGACACATAGCCAAGTTGTCTTGCAAATGCAGTACACTTCTCTCAAAATAATAAAAATCTTCATGATTTAGGATTGGGTCATGATATAGGTCTCCTAGATAAGAATCAAGACACAAATAACAACAGAATAAATTGCATCTTATTCAAATTTATAATTTTTGTTTTTAAAATGACACAAAAATTAAAAAGTCAGGTAATAACAAGTTTTGACAAATGCAGAAATTTTAGTATTCATACCTTGCTATTGTTGTTGTAAAATGATACCATAACTTTGGAAAAAAGTTTGACACTTCCTCAAAAAGTGAAATATAGTATTATTATATGATCCAGCAATTTCATCCCTCAGTATGTACCCAAGACAATTGAGGACAGGTCCACACTGAAATTTGTGTACTAATGTTTATAGCAGTATTATGCTATAGAAATGTGGAAACAACTAAAAATACCAGTCAACTGATGAATAAAAATATATGATCTCTTCATTCAATAAAATATTATTCAGTCATTTAAGAAGACTGAAGTATTAACATGTGATAACACCATTGAGGGAAACATAAAACTGAAAGAAGCCAATCACAAAAGATCTCATAATTATGTCATTTTATGAAATCAGAATTGGTAAATTCTTTAAGACAGGAGTAGATTAGTTAATTGTTGCCAGGGAATAGACAAGCGGAAAATAGGAAATGAGTATTAATAGGTACAGAGTTTCCCTCTGAGGTAATGAAAATGATCTAAAATTACATAGTGGTGATGACCATACAACTCATTGTATAAAACACCAAAATATGAGCTTTTGTATAAATTATATCTTAATAACTTTAAAAAAATCTACCTAGAGTTCCCTAGTATATTGTTTATAACAATATGATTATTATAATATAAAAATTATAGGGGCCTCCCTGGTGGCATAGGGTTAAGTCTCAGCATAGCATGCTATCACCACTGTGGCCTGAGTTCGATCCCTGGCCAGGGAGCTAACCCACATATGGCACAGCAGATCTCTCCTGCTCCCCTCAGCCATGTATTTCAGTAGATCTGCCTGTTCTGCTCCACACTCTGTCTCTGGTGAATCCTCTCACCCACCACACCTCTGGCCTATATCCCAGTTCTTGTATGCATAAATAAAAATCTTTAAAAAACAAAAAAGTTATAATCATTTTCAATACCAAATTCTTGATATTGATACAAAATGGTAAGGTAGTATTCTCTTGTATCCAGAATGACCCTTATTGTCATGTATTACAGAGGACCATTATTTGACTCTTAATTCAGGGAATTTTTGCTTTCTACATGTATCAGCTTGAGAACAAAATAATAAATTGATATTGTGAAATGCCATATTGGGAGTGAGGGGCTGTTCAAGGAAAATGATCCCATTTTTCAAATCATCTGTAGACTATTAAGTTAATTGGCTGTGTGATTTGATGGAACGATACTGGAATGTACCTCAGAAAAACTTTACCCATCTTTTATTGTGTGACCTTGCACTTGTCAGTTATCTCTCTGCATTTGTTTTGTTCTTTGTCCAGTAGAATATCAACTCCTACCCAATACATTTACAAGATTTGCAAGATGTGAAGGTGTTTTCAAATTGACAGCATGATAAAAATAGGAGACATTATTTAACATCCTTCATTTTTCTTCTTCAGATTTGATTTTCAAAGAAGAAAAACAAAATGTGCTAAGTTAAATGTTTCCTTTTGGATATTGATTGAGAGGGTCTAGTTTTCTTCTTGAGGAAGAACCTTGTACAGAGTCAGAAACTGGAATTTCTGTGACATTAACAGATAGGATTTTATAGAAAACTGTTTTTTTTTTTTTTTTAATGTATCATTCTGGCAGCAGAGAAAGCAATGGCAGCAGACAGGTTATTTTCAATTAAACAGGAGCTGTCAGAAAATCAGAAATGTTGAAATATGGTGAGCATGAATCCTAAACAGATCATATGGCAGCTGCTCAGCTGTTATTTTAACAGAGTCACTGTGTGCATGTGGCATTTTCCTGCAGAATTTAATTTGTGTCCCTAACAACAGACATCTCTGTATTTGTGCATTGCTGTCAAGTCAACTTGGACCTTCTAAATGACCCCCTGGAATGGTGGTGTTCATGGGTGACACGTAGGGGAGGTGACTCTCACCCTGTCTTCTTCCACTCAGGTTACATCGAAGAGGCCTGCATCATCCCCTGTCCCTCAGACTGCAAACTTAGTGAGTGGTCCAACTGGTCGCGCTGCAGTAAGTCCTGTGGGAGTGGCGTGAAGGTTCGGTCTAAATGGCTGCGTGAAAAACCATATAATGGAGGAAGGCCATGCCCCAAACTGGACCATGTCAACCAGGTATTTTCCTCCACTGAGAATACGAAAGTATTGTTTAAAGTAACAATAAATCTGCTTTTTTTCTCCAAAATGGAGAAGAGTAAATAATAGCTCCAGAATAAGAAATTTGACCATTTTATTCTTAGAATGTCTGAGTCAATACATGTATGTCTGTTATTGAAGTCCCAGATCAGATTTATTGTCTCTATATTATCAGGAGATTTAGTACCCTAAATATACATATAAATGGAATGAAAAATGACACCTACCTCTGAAATAATGTCAGAGTATTTAATACCTGAAAATTGTATCTAACATGTGGAAAGCAAGATTCTCATTGTTGTAGTTACCCTCGACTCTCAGAAAAGACATCTCAAATACTGACCACTTAAATTAAAAATCAAAGATAATATATAATTTGTAAAGCCTAAAATTAGGAACTATATACTATAAATTCATGTAAATTTGTTTGACATAAAGTATGTTTAAAAAAAAACAGAAATATAAAGATGGCCTCCAAGTCACTGGAAGTGTGCCATCTGTCCATTTAGTCATTGGCCTTTTGAATTTTATTTTAAATTTTATTTCACTTTGAATGCGTATTGTGTTAGCTGCTCTTAATTGTTGTTTATCATTTCTTATTGGATATATAAAGTAAACAGGCTAATAGAGAGAATTATACTGATTTAAATGTACTTAGGATGTATCAGACAATTGCCATGTTTGGCCTACATGTGAATTAACAAAGGATAAATTTCATACAATATGTGCAAATATTTAGATATGCATTTAAGTAACAATCAAATGAGTCAAGTCATATGTCAGAGCCAACCTTAAATATGTAGATGTTTCAAACATATTGTCTAATTGTAATCTCTAAACACTGCTAACCCATACACATACTTTCCTTCCCAAAGTAACCTAAATTAGTTCATAACAATAAAAGTACAGTGTTGAGAAAATAAAAGGAACTTTTGAATAAAAGAGTTAAGGACAAAGAAAGAAGAGAATTTAACTACATAGAAAGTACTCTGAAAGAACCTAGCTTTTTTTCCCTGAATGAAGTTTCTGTATTTGCCCTAAAAGGCAACTGAAGGCAAATAATACATTGCACTGCTGCCATCTACTGGTAATTGGGTTTCCCTGTCAGTGAATATTTGCAAAGAAAATTCAGTTCTATGACCCTCATGAAACAGAAAAACTGAAATGTATTGTATATAATGTAAAAGAATATTTTATGCAAGTTTTGAAATCATGACTTTCCAATGATAAATTTAAATTTTCATAATTTTTTATCTTTGGTTCTAAAACAGAGAAATTCTACACATACTCATACTTTGTGTGTGTGTGTGTGTACACAAACAGCTAGTCAGACTTTATGTTAAAATAAGATCTGTTTTCCTCAGCATTTTCTTTAAAATTTAATTTGCAAAGGTTCAAACCTTGGGTCATGTTGTCTTTGCAATGAAAAATATTTAACCTAAGTCATCTTTCTATCACTCTGTGACACTGATGATATCTAATGCAGAGTTTGATGAGAACATGAGTACTTATCAATGGCATATTAAGACTTTAGAAGTAAAAAGTCAAGTAAGAGGGAATTGATTCTTGAATATTTAACTTTGAGTATAAATGTTCCATGTTAAGAAATAGAAACCGCTATGGATTTTCATTAGTAAAATATTAGGTAAGTAAAAAATACGCAGTTTCATGTTAATTTTGAAAATTATAAATAGTGTAGTTTTTACTGCAATTATACATTCCTCAGTAAAATAATCCATCATCATTGAGGTTACTCAGGGAGTGAGGAACAAAGGGAGGAGAGGGCCAATGGGCTGTGGTGGCAGGCTGTGGGTGCTGGGGGGAGAGGGGTGCGGTGAGCAGGGTAGTAACATAAATCTGAAGAGGTGTGAACCCATTCCCCTATATCATAAATCTTGCAGAGTGTTTTCAATCAATATTACCTAAAAAAAAAGATGTAACAGAAAAAGAGAAAGGAGTGATTAGAATACAGTGACTGATAACAGAAAAAAATAAACTAATCTGAGGTCATTGACTTGAAAATGGCCTCTGAGTTTCCATTTTCCTCATTTCCTCAAGCACATCCTCATTTCCTAAGAAATATAGATGGATGGACTGATTAAGGTCAATAAATAGGTCAATCAATCAATCTATAGATAGTCTACGTACAGTTTGGGTCCCAAGATATTTGCGGGCATAGAGCAATTCCCCATGTGCATTTTGAAGTCTATTCTTCTAAGATTTTTTGTTCCTGTCCATCTAATCATTTCCTTGACTGTGTGCTTTTGCAATTCTGAGGAATGTATCTTAAGTTTAAACCATAATAAGCATTTTTTTCCCTCAAGACCTAAGAAAAATGTTCTAACTTACCAAAAACATAGGCTTTATATATGGATAATATTTGAAATAAAACATGCATTCATCTCATTGATATACTAACATTTTTAATTTGTTTCTCTCCTCTTTCTTCATCCCTACTGAATATCAATCCAGGCACAGGTAAGAAGTTTTAAATTTCATGGCTCATAATAAGTCTGCTGCTTGTATCATTCCTTATACCTGATTTCAAAGAATGTGTTGTTTTCTTGTTATTGTCTGGCATTTGTTTGGCATTCTTTCTCTTTTTTTCCTAGCATGTTACCTGTTTTTCCATTTTTTTGTCATAGTAATACCAAGGCCTGAGCTGACAGATAAGGGAGAATAAGTTTTGCTATACCAGTCTTGAAGAGGCAATGATGTCCCTTATTAATTGATTTCATACTCAAAACAGGATGAGCTCCTCAGAGAGAGAGAGATAGAGTACAGTTGGCTTGGAAGTGGGTGGTGGTAGGTCGCTCAGAAGTGATTTGCATTGTTTCCAAAGTAAGAGATTAAAATGAAAGCCTTCAAAGGATTAGAAGGGCATTTCCCTTTCACTTTTCCCCTCCCCCAAAGTAGTCACGTTATTTTGCACCAGTGTTTAGTCCTATTTTAACACAGCACCCAAAGTGAGGGTGATCACTTATGACAGTAGCGGATTCTTATTTCAACTGTGTATATATTTATTCTTATTTGGAATAATTGAGTTTTACTCACTTTATTTGGATGTTTAGCCCACTTAAATTTTCACAAAATGAGAAATAATTAAATCTATTTTTTCTGGAATTAGTTACCACATGCTATATGCTATGCTATAGTGTATATATGTGAAAATTGGGAAATAGAGTGAAATTATCATTGATTTTGGAATGATTTTGAAAGACTTTTTTATTCGATGGTTAGGTTAGCTTTGTTGCAGTAGATGAGGGTCCATTTATTATATTACATTTACTTAATCATTCTTTTCATTGAGAAAAGAGCATAATTGGTTCATTATTCTGAAACCAAACACACCACCTCAACACAGGCTTTCAGCCTTTGTGGACAGGAGAGCCGGAAAATTAGCCTTGTTTTGTGTGGCCTCACTGCTTTGGGTAGTAACTATGTGATATGAGACCAATTTCAGACCTTGTTTCCAAGCCCTAAATGATTAAGGGTTCACTTTAAAATACTTATTTGTTAAGATCTGATAGAAGTAAAAATCTACTTACCAGATATTTTTGAGGTCAATATTATTTCATTTCAGTATGAAATAAATTATTAGTAGATGGGGGAAAATAATAAAAAAAAGACTTTATCTCATACTGTCTTTTAATTTAGTTTCATGCATAGAACACCAAAAATGGAAATTCCTGTTGTTATACATATTTATTAGGAAAAAAAAAGGCCCAATTGTATTTATTTGAGAACAGCTACTTTTACATGCATATTTAAATTCATCCATTCATTCGTCTTTTCACTAAATCTCTATTGAATGCCTAACATATGAGTACCTGTGACTAAGTGTTGAACACACACACAACTGTGGACATGACAGATGGTCCAGGAAATTACAATACTGTGTGGTCAGGGTCGGTACAGGAAAGTATGTAATGTGTATTTAATGTGGTCCCACACGTCACATCTACAACTGCAACCGAAGAAAGCAGCAGACTGCAACACAGCTAGCCTTGCCCTTTGCTGCTAGCACTCTCACGCAATTTCTCTATATTCCTGCTGTAGCATAATGAACATAAGAGAAAGGAATAAAAGTTCTCGGTAAGCACGCAATTGTCATTATGATGAGAAGTGTCCCTTCTCACTTTCATTATTTCCCTGAGGTGAGACCTTTGAGACTATGTGTGTTCCAGGTGTATGAGGTTGTCCCTTGCCACAGTGACTGCAACCAGTACATATGGATCACGGAGCCATGGAGTGTCTGCAAGGTGACCTTTGTGAACATGCGGGAGAATTGTGGAGAGGGCGTGCAGACCCGAAAAGTGAGGTAAGGCAAGACCGAAATATAAAGACAAGCAAAATCACAACCACCTCTCAGTTAACTCATGCCAATAGAAGTTTTTCATTCCTCCTTAATCTCCTGAATAAAACTGTTTTTAGTTTTATCCTTAGGGAATCTGTGTTCCTGGAAAACTCTAAGGGAATCTACTTCAAGCAGTAGTTTACCACACTGGGCCTTCCGATTTATGAAGCTCTTGATGAGAAGTGTAGATGTAAATGTAGACTAAAATAATATCGATTTTCCAACCCCACAATTGCTCTTAAAGGTCAAATACATTTCTTAATGCATTTCCATGATAATCTGTTATACTCTCACTCCTTTATGTCAAACTTGCTAACTTCTTAATAGTCTCATCTCCACAAGCCTTCCCTAAAACCCTGACTGTGTCTGTTTCACCTTAAAAGTAAACTAATTAAAATGCAATAAAACTGAAAATTCACTCTTCCATCACACCAGACACATTTCATTTACTCAAAAGCCATAGGTGACTGGTGGCTATTCTGTTAGCACGTAGAGTATTTCCAACACCACAGAAAGTTCTGTGAGCACTGCTGTTCTACAGTCCCCACATGCTCCTTATTTTGAAAGACCCACTTATTTGTCTGTCACCTTTATAGAACTTCCAAACTGGGACTCTTTCATATTCCTCATATTTATAGAAATTCCCTAACACAAGTTTGACACTTCCCTTAGTATCAGTACATGTTCTTTAACAATCCTTGAACCCTGTGAATCAAGCATATGAGGTTTTATTATTTTCAGTGAATAGAATGCAGTGTTCTAAGTACTCAGAATCACTAAATATTTTACCAAGAACACACATCTGGTAAAATGACAAGAACTGTCATTCAAAGCCTTTTCTTTTCATTCTTTTTAACTATACATTTTCTTCTAACCCTGCTGAGTGACATAGAGTATACACAAATATGAACACATCTCCAGAATTTGACAACTTATGATGCAAAGAAGCTCATTCTCACATATTGAATGAATGTGAATTTAAGGTTATTATTTCTCAATCTGTTTAAATAGGAAAGTTGAACAAATTAGCATTTGGCACACTACCTAAACTTTGCTTCTGATAAAAATAACCTCTATTTCTTATTTTAAAAGTCCACTTGAACTCTCAAATTATTTTTCCATGAGGAACTTAAAGGGGCAGGAGTTTAGATGAAAGTAATGAGTGGCCAGAGAAGCAGGGAAAGAAAAAAAGATTGTTTTCCCTCAATCTCCTTCCAAATTTAAAAATATTTAAGAATTTAGCAAAAAAATTGTATCTTACCTTAAATTTACCTTTTATTAGTAAAAAAAGTAACTACTGTTCTTTTAGTTTTCCCTTCAGTTATCTGTATGCATGTTGCTTTTTTTCTTTGAGAATATCTTCAACATTTAAAATATATCTTAATGTTAACTTTTCAGATCTGTATTTTTTCTGTAAACATTTTATGCAAATAGAGAAAAGAGAAGGTCAGTATTGATTGTGATCTCTGATCATGTAATAATGTCCCTATTTGTTACTGACTGAGTAGTACACATTCTAACCTTATCCTCTACTAATTAAGGTCAAAATGTCCTGCTTAAAGGCAAGGACTGGCTGACATTTCAGGATAGATTGAGTCTATAAGAGAGCAGGTTTTAATTTATCTATCTTGTTCTTTCTCTTTTAGAATATTATAAGAGTCCATAGTAGAAGTGGTTTGCTCTGGTAGGAAGGAACATTTTTTCCCTGACATAATTTTTAGAATTGCCAACACAATGATAACTAAAAGCAGATTTGGTTATTTATATTTTTTAAACAATTTATCTCCAGTGAACCTTATTGCCGTATCTAGATGCTTCTGGCCCCAATCTTCATCCCTAACTTAGTTTTACACTATGTATTTCTAATACAATTCAATCTTCACACAGCATAGTTCTTTTCCAATGCAAAGAAGAAAAGCTGAGAATGTGAAGAAAGTGAATGAATATAAAAATGCCTTTCTTCGGGCTCATAATTTTTTTTTAAAGATTTATTTATTTATGCATACAAGAGCTGGGGTTCAGGCCAGAAACGCAGGGGTGAGAGGATTCACCAGAGACAGAGTGGGGAACATAACAGGCAGATTGACCAAAGTACATTGCTGAGGGGAGCAGCGGGCGAGTCAAGAGAGGTCTGCTGCGCCATGTGGGTTACTCCCTGGCTGGCTGGGAATCGAACTTGTGCTGCAGTGGCTGCGGATAGCTTCATAGTTTGCCTCTTAACCCTTGCGCCACCAGGGAGGCCCTGGGCTCATAATTTAACCCAAATATTTATTCTGTATTCTAGAGTGATTAGAAAAAATTAATAACAAATAAGTAAAACAGATAGTCTGTATGTCGACAATAGGGTGTTTGTTTTTTTTACCAATTGTGGCACATTCAAATGTAGTCATTAAAAATTGTATCAGAAAAATGATACAAGATGACATTCCTTTTGTTTCGTTGATATTTTTTTAAGTGGCACAAACAAATTTGCATCTATTTTAGTTATTTCTGATAGAATATGTGAATTATTCTTCTTCTGATTTTCCTAAAATGAATATATTACCTATGTAATAAAAATTAAAGAAAAAGATTAGCCTTTAAAAATGAAGTTCTATGTACATAACTACTTTATAGTGTGTTGAACATCTGTCCTTAATGCTAGATCAATAGGTAATTTTCCAAGTTAATCCTGGTATGTGTGTCAGACCCTATGAATATAGTCCTTTCTAAACTGCAGCTCCAACTTTGGAGCACTGAACTGTCCCATCTGCTCCACGTCCTCTAAAAGCTGCTATTGCAGAGCATTTAAAAAGTGTCACTAATGGTAGAACTTTTTCCAGGGAAACAAATTCTCACAAATATATCTATCTTTGTGTGTTTTGTGATTGCTTTATTATATAATTATGAAATATACCAAAAAATGCAGAGATGGATATTTGTGTATTTTTTCAGGCTATAAACCCAAATAAGACATGAATAGCATCATAGTTTCCTCCAGGTTTGGCAGGCCTGTCTAGAAAGGTGACTGTGCCGAGTAGATTTCTAAAGATGCAATGTCCCTACTGATTATAAATCCCTGAAAAAAGTTAAGACTCCAGGTATAATTGGTAATGTAATTCAACTGACAGTTTAAAACATTGTGATGGGTTTGAGAGGCTTAAGAGCTCAAGTCTTCCTTTTCATCTTCTGCAATGCATTTTTTCTTTCCAAACCTATTACTCTGTTTGACCTTCTCTGACTTATAGATGAGGGGTAAAGTTTTTCCCTTCTACAAGAAAAGTGCCCAGAGAGATTATTAAATTCAGTAAAAGTGAAGTCTGGTACTAACCACATTAATTAGATTCCCCATGGATGAGTAAAGAGCCATTCATGACGACTTACAATAGAATGAAATGTAATAAAATGTCTGAATTTGTTGTGTTAAAAAGAAAACAACAAAGAGGTCAAGATATAGAAAGATCCAAACTCTCACATTTGGAGAATTTATGCTATTACTATTATAATTATCTTTTTACTTCTGGCTGTCTTTTAAGTTTATCAGCAGATGGAAGGCTAATTACTTTTTAAATGGCAAAACAATTTGAAAAATGCCTTCAGTTACTTTCAAAAACAAACTTTTCATTAGGAAATTTCAGTGTGCTTCATCTTCTATCACATATGAATTTACCCTTTCTATAAATCCCCCATTTTCTTCAGAAGAAAAAATTGCACTGTATTCCAAAATTGCAACCTCTCTGAATCTTTTTGAACCACTCCTCATTAGATTCTGCATTACATATAAGTCTACGTGATCCTCTCCTTTCATAGGAAGTCATAAAGTGTTTACATACACACAGCGTACATTATATTTGCTGGTACATTATACCAGCAAGCATATATTTTTAAATCATACTGAATTACTTCATATTTATGGGAGGCAGAGATCCTTTTATGTCTTATGTATGGAGAATTTTACTAAATGCAACTTTCCCACCCCCAGCTCCATGATGATGCCTTAAGAACCATCAATCTTAATGATTGTCCATTGTTCTAAATGTCCTAATTCCTTTACTTACATGTTTTCTTCTAGATGCATGCAGAACACAGCAGATGGCCCTTCTGACCACGTAGAGGATTACCTGTGTGACCCAGAGGAGATGCCTCTGGGCTCTAGAGAGTGCAAATTGCCATGTCCAGAGGACTGTGTGATATCTGAATGGGGTCCATGGACCCGATGCACTTTGGTAAGATGATTAACCATTTATTAATGTAGAATTTGCTTAATTCCTTACCACTAAAGCTTTTTAAAAACAATGGTTTCTAAATCAGTTACTAGTAACCAAATCCATTACCAAAGCAAGATGTGTTTTCTTGTCCAATTCATTCTATGAATGTGCTGTTTAAAGTCAGCAATGTGTCATTTCATGCTAGAACAGCTCGATCTCTTGCAAGCATTGTGGCCCTTTACCATCCAGCACAAAACTGTAGTTGTAATAATGATTCCCTTCAGGTAAAGGGGAAAAGAATGAAGCTGTAGTTAAGGTACTTTGATGGTACTGGATTATTGTCACTTCTTGCTTTTTGCCCATTCCATTTTATTTAAATGGTAGGAATAATCTTTCACACAGTGGGGGTACTGCAGCAGGGGCACTGACACTAAAACACAAAAGATCCAATGAGAAAGGGAGTAGAGAGAAGAAAGCTGTGCATCACTGAATCTCTTCCCAAACACTGACTCTGGGTCTCTTTGGGTCTGGAAAGCCAGCTGAGAATTTCAAAACACAGAAAGCTGCTAGATTTCAACAGCCAGTAGGGATCCTAGGAAGAGCATCAATTGAAACATAACTGACTGATGATGTAGAAAATTTGGCTTACCCCATACACCTTTGTAAATTTATTTTTAAGACAGCATCAAAAGCTTAAGGAAAAATCATCTACTACGGAATTATTTGGCTGAAGTACAATATAGGACAGTTGCAAAGGATTTGTGATGCATGTTTTCAAAGAGAAATTAAATTTCTATCTTCATGTTACCATTACTAGAGATTCTGACTAGCAGCCAACTGATAGAACAAGAGAAAAACAGGGCTGGCAGTTGATTTGGATACAGGTTAGATTGCAGTAAAGAATCAACTGTTTTACAAGGGAATGCAAATTAATTTCTGGTCTCATTCCGAAATACCAGATCTGAAGTTACTGCTCCTGGTTATAGAAAATGTTTTCAGAACAAAATTGAACCAGTAGGAGAATGACCAGCTGGTCTTTTTAGGAGCTATATATGTTTGTGTGTATGTGTACTGGGAAAAGTAAAGGTCACTAAAAGCTAGATATTTAGAGTCACCCTTAAAATTTTCTTTCCCCCAAGACCATGAGACTAGATAATTGAATATGATCGGTAAGACCTGTGTATTATTGATCTACAATAATTAATATGGGCATTGTGTATATATTATATGATTGTTCATATCTGACACAGAGACTTCACTATAGCTAGATGGGACTTCAGAAGCACATTGATTTTAAAGATGAAGAAACTGGGGCATATTGAGGTTAAATTAGCCAGTGGCCCAAATGTTCTAACTCCTGCTCCAGCACTATCCCTAACTCACTGGCACAGTGTGGCTAAGCATTCACCTTTCTGAGGAGTTGTGTCATTCTTTGTCAGCCTTGCAATCAAAGCAATTTCCGGCAAAGGTCAGCTGAACCCATTAGACAACCTGCTGATGAAGGAAGATCCTGCCCTGATGCCATTGAGAAGGAACCCTGTAACTTGAACAAAAACTGCTTCCACTATGATTATAATGTAACAGGTATGTGGCTAGTCATTTGATCATAAAGTCCAAATCCTGTGTACCTCAGCTCTGCAGCATTCCCATTAGTATTGTTTATCTCCATCTGTATACCTTTCAGACAGCCTACCTATTGTCCCAGAAATCACTCTCGAAATAACGAAATTCTTCAGCTGTTGTTTTCAAATAAACCTCAAGACATAAAAGTGAAAATATATCATGCAAATATTAGCCCTTAAGATAGACTATAAATATTCTAAGCAATCCTTGTAAAGACATCTCCCCCTTTGGGAATATGCAAATAAAAGATATAGCATTTCCATAGGTGTCAGATTTACTGAAAAATACCTCCTTTCAAAGATTTTTTAATCATTATAACATTATAAATACTGGGACAAAAATTCCTTATGTAAGGGATAGTACAAAATTAGTCTGATACAAAATTAGTATTAGTATGATTAGTCTGATACAAAAATGACAACAATCTTAAACTTGCAAAAAAAACTATGAGGAAACAAGTTATTTCAATATTATAAAAGATACAGATTATAGGGGCCTTCCTGGTGGTGCAAGGGGTTAAGACACAACCTATGAAGCTATCTGCAGCACGAGTTCGATCCCCGTCCAGGGAGCCACCCACATGGCACAGCAGACTCTCCTGACGCGCCTGCTGCTCCCCTCAGCAGTGTATTTCAGTCAATCTGTCTGTTCTGTTCCCCACTCTGTCTCTGGTGAATCCTCTCACCCCCAACACCTCTGGCCTGTACCCGAGTTCTTGTATGAATAAATAAATTCTCTAAAAAAAAGATACAGATGATAAATGATAGATGGGTATTTTAGAAAAACAGGTTTATTACACGTTCCATTATTTTCGTACCCTCATCTCATAACATCAAAGCAGATACTATAGGAAAGGACAGGTTTTGTTGGCTTATATGACTTGGAGCAACACTGAAGCTTATGTTGGAATTTTTCCAGGTAATTTTCACACTGAAATAAACTCTGAAAAATTGTACAATGGCACATAGCAGTCATAATGTCTTTTTGTTTCTTTTGATTTTTCTCTTCAAATTTACTTTGATGCTACAAGGAAATTGCTGTTCTCTAAGACATGCTATGTTGCCCTAGGGGAAAAAAAAAAGATGAAAGAATCATTTTGTAAAAGACAAAGAGAATTAAATATAGCCAAAATGATTTTGAAATAAATATCTACATTTTAAAACAATCTAAATATAGACAATAAGTAAAACAGTATTTTATTAAAATATAATTATGCAGTTCAGGTACCACCATTAAAGTTATGATTTGACTAAAATAAAAATATTAACTTTTAAATTCTTTTATTAGGAAAAAGTTTTTAAATGACATTTGATCTGCAGGCCAAAAACATTTTTACAATGTCTCTGAATGGCTAACTGTCAAGATTGCCAAGCAGACATCTGCCTACAAGAATAATCCCTGTAGCTCTGTGCAACCCAGCAATTCCATTTGACTCCTGATATGTTCAAAGCTGGGACCCATATGCTCTGCGTGTGGGATGATTGATTGTGGGGCTTAGGAAACAGTTGCGAATCAAAAATGGGATTCAGGTCATCAGAGCTTCATTGGAAATCTGCTTCCTGCACAGCTTCTGTCCTGATGGGCTTCCTTCTTTTCAGACTGGAGTACATGTCAGCTAAGTGAGAAGGCAGTTTGTGGAAATGGCATTAAAACAAGGATGTTGGATTGTGTTCGAAGTGATGGCAAGTCAGTTGACCTGAAATATTGTGAAGAGGTGAGTGGATGCTGTGTTACTTCTTTGTGAGTAAATTTTCTCCTAATATTTTCAATTCATGCTGAGCCAAGTGACCTGTGCTCCATGCAGCTCAGCGCCAGCAGATGTTTTTCAGCTCTATTCAGAGCCTGTTAAGCACCCACTTGAAAAGACACTGTCCAACACTACTGATTTCTAGATATAATTTCCTGTATTTTGTTCTGCTTAGAGCCCAAAGGTATGCTAATTAGCCTATTCTGAAAGAAATGCTTGGGGAACAATAAGTAATCAAGGTGAATAAAGGCAATAAATCTTAATCAGACTACTCATCATCTTTTGTAATTTCATGTGAATTTTGTGTTGCCTGGGACACCTGCCAAGACCCATCACGTATTCCCTCTGTTGCTAAACATTGATCACATGTGGTTTAGTAGCAGATTTTGATATTAGGATCTAATATCCAGCTGTGAGAGTCCAAGTACTCAGATCTGAATAAGAGAAAGCTTAAAATTCAAACAAAGGAGTGGGCTCTGCCTTTTGTATCTTTTAAGTGCAGAGAATTTTAACTGTCAATTAACCAATTTACAAAAGTATGATTTTTAGATGTGCTCTTAGGTAATGCAAGAAAACATGTTTTTTGACTTTTTTCATGAAGCAACACTTCATGTTATAGTTATTTCATCTGTACCATGTTATAGTTATTTCATCTGTACTCCATACCAAAAGTGTGCTCACATTTCTGACAGGTTTTGCCTTTTCATGCATCTGAAGCCCACTGGGTTAAGTATGAACGAAGGTTAGCAGGAGTCTTCACAGACCTGAAACACATGGGGTGAGCTTATGACCTCCATGTTCAGTAGACACAGTAACCTTGACTTCTGTCTACATCTCCTGGAAGCTGTGAGCCCACAGTAAATTGCTCCAACTCCTAAGGGAAAAGAAATATATTTTATTTCATTTGATATCTTTGTCAAGTGGTCCTAACTTAACTTCCTCACATCATGGGAAAAGAATTCCTAGAAGTACTGAAACTCACCATCATCTTATAACATCATTTAGTCTATTCATGATTTAATTAGAAATTTCACAACTAAATTAACTTGGTTTTGAAACTAATAATATTGAAGTCATAACCATTATTTAAATATGTGATTATTAATGAAGATTATTATATATTGGTTGGAGAACTTTCTGTCATCTACCAGTTGATTAATACGTCCCCATATTTTGCACATGCACATGTAAATGCCCTCCTGGGTCATAATGACATATACAATTAGTAGCTCAAAGCTTTTTGAAAGTTAAGCCCAAATTACACAGGAACCAATTTTAAAATACCTCATAGGATTATAGGACAAAGATATAACTAAGACCTATTATTTCATAAATGAAATGTCAGTAAAAACCTCAGAAATAACAAATTGTACTTCTCCAGATGGATTTCCCCTATGCACAAATATTATGTTTGAATACTGCAATGACAACTTGGGTTCAAATTATAACATTCTAGCAAATGCTGTCTTCAGAGAAAACAGCGCTGCTCCGCAGCAACTGGGTTCTCATGTCCCATTTTATCCATCCCTGTGGAGGTAGTAGGAACAAATAATGGCCCTGAGGAAAGCTGGCTGTCTTTTTAAACAATGGATTGATTGCCTACCTGCTGTACAAACTCCACATTCAGCGCACCAGCAGTTGCTAACTCTCACTGCTTCTCTAATAGCCGAAAAGAAAGATGGCATTACTACCCAACAAACAGGAAAATTAGGGTTAAACCTATACAGCATTTGTATGGTACTTTTGTCTTCAGTGTTTTTCAGACATTTATTCACCTGATATCTAGTAATAGATTTCTCTTTTTCCATTCGTATTCCTGAAAAGATTTAATTCACACCTATTTAGTCATATGATTTAGAGCTATAAACAGAAGGAAAACATACAACAAATATCCCAAAAAGAGTACTTTGGGGTTAAAATGTTTCACTGAAAGATAACTAGAATATCAGTAAACAGGCATCCTCTTCACCTCCCTAGTGAAACAAATCAGTCAGTAGTAGTAATGGAACCCAATGCCAATAAAATGGTATAAAATCATTATTTGATGAAAGGTTAACACCAAAATAACTGAATTATACCACAGTTAGATGCTGAGGTCAGGTCTGTAGAAGAGAAAATCTTTTTTTAACAAATATAGATGCATATAAAATATCCCTATTAAAAAATGCTGTTGACCTACATTTCCTTTTGAGAAATAGCTTATTTATATGTGAATATAATGCATCCAAGTAATATAAAATATCATTTATTTTGAGCATCAATATGTTAAAAATTTTTCCCTTTTACTTGTACGTATATATAAACAATATAGATCTATATATTGATATTCTTGTTTTTTTAAAAAAAGATTTATTTATTTATTTATACAAGCACTGAGTACAGTCAGAAGCATGGGAGGGTGAGAGAATTTACCAGAGCCAAAGCGGGGAACAGAACAGGCAGAATGATAGAAATACACTGCTGAGGGGAGCAGTGGGCGCAACAGGAGAGGTCTGCCGCGCTGTGTGGAACACTCGCCGACAGCCAGGGATTGAACCGGCCCTGCAAAGACTGCAGGCAGCTTTGCAGCCCAGCGCTTAACTTCTGCGCCACCAGGGGAGGCTCAATATTCTTGGTTTTTGACTAATTATCAAGTAAATATGCTTACACTCATTTGTTTCTCACTTAGGGAAACTCAACCAATTTGGAAATAAACTTTTTCAATAGGCAATAAAAAGAGTTTCACAATATTTATCAAATAAATGCACTCCTCCATGCAGCCTATGCCCTTTGCTCCCATTGTCCTGGGTTGAACCACTTTATATTTTTCACAGCTTGAGTGTCCTCCAGATGTTCCTTTTTATTCTACTATGCACTGGTTTATTCGCCCTTTTCTGTCCTCTTTCTTCCATCAATAATATATTGTGGCCATACCTCTATCTCTGTTCTTCCAGCTTAGCCTGGAGAAGAACTGGCAAATGAATACCTCCTGCATGGTGGAATGCCCTGTGAACTGTCAGCTTTCCGACTGGTCTCCTTGGTCAGAATGTTCTCAAACATGTGGCCTCACAGGTTTGTTTGGCATGTAATTGGCAGTGGGCTGATGGTTAAGGAATATGAAATAAGATGTAATATGAATATGAAATAGGATGTATTTTAAGGAATATAAGGAATATGAAATAAGATGTAATTTCTTGCTTTAACTCTTATCAGATTATCTTCAGAAAAGGTGAATTGGGGTCTTATCAAACAATCTGAGCCTGCCTTGTTTTTTAGATATCCTCAGAAAAGATGACTAGTCCTTCTCCCAAAATGACATATGCTTATGTAACTGTAATATATCATAAAAGTTGTCACTTTGTATCTCTTAAAGGAAAAATGATCCGAAAAAGAACAGTGAACCAGCCCTTTCAGGGTGATGGACGACCGTGCCCTGCCCTGATGGAACAATCCAAGCCTTGCCCAGTGAAACCCTGTTATCAGTGGCAATATGGACAGTGGTCTCCATGCCAAGTGCAGGTAGCAGTAGCAGCTTTCCAGAAGTTGAATGGAAATGTATATTCTTTATCTGTAGAGACATTGTTCCAGAAGGTTTCAAAGCTTACAGATGGCATGTTAGCATCTTAAAGATTTTAGGTACCTTGCCATTTCATAACCATTTAATCCGTTTTTATAACAAAAACTCCCTGTCCTGTATTTTAAAAATTATCTGGAGGCTGATTCATTTTAATGAAAATTTATTTGCCTGTCTTTGGTTAGAAAACAAATTTTTCATTGTATGCTTTATAGTTGGGAGTGCCCTAAAGGACTTCTTCCCCAGGGTTTCAAATTCTTCTTTAACTGCTCATAAATCAAAAGCAATGGTGCAGAGAGGATTGTAAGTAATGACATTACTTACTGAATTATTTTTCTTAGTCATTTTTTCCTCCATTCCAGGAGGCGCAGTGTGGAGAAGGGACGAGAACAAGGAACATTTCTTGTGTAGTGAGTGAAGGATCAACTGAAGACTTCAGCAAAGTGGTGGATGAAGAATTCTGTACTGACATTGAACCCAATATAGATGGTAATAAAAAAGTGGTCCTTGAGGAAACCTGCACCCAGCCTTGCCCAGGTAAAAATAGCAAAACTGAATTCTTATATTTAGTCATTTCCACCATAACCAACCAAGTTAACAAGCCAAGAAATGGGATATAGGAGGGTCTGTTTGTCCCTCTATGGGTGGATCTATAGGGACCACCGTAGGCTGCTACATAGATGAGACTATAGGACAATCCATATGGGGATCCACCATAGGCACATCACTGGTGCATCTGTGGTTGAGTAAATAGGCTCCTCCATAGTCGGCTCCATTCATACATCTTTTTTTTTGAACAGTGCCAAACATGGAAGTACTATTTTTTTTTTAAGATTTATTTCTACATACAGGAGCTGGGGTACGGCCAAAGGTACAGGGGGTGAGAGGATTCACCAGAGACAGAATGGGGAACAGAACAGGCAGACTGACCAAAATACATTGCTGAGGGGAGCAGCGGGTGCCACAGGATAAGTCTGATGCACCCTGGACAGGGATCAAACTCATGGTGTAGTGGCTGCAGATAGCTTCATAGGTTGCTTCTTAATACCTTGCGCCACCAAGGAGGCCCACATACATGAATCTTGATGGTCCATAGGCAGCTCCATAGGCTGTCCTTAGGAGAACCCATAGGGGAATGCATAGGAGAACCCATAGGGGAGCCCATAAGCGATCCCATAGGGGGGCCCATAGGGGAGCCCATAAGCGATCCCATAAGGGAGCCCATAAGCGATCCCATAGGGGAGCCCATAGGGGAACGCATAGGCGAACCCATAGGGGAGCCCATAGCGATCCCATAGGCGAACCCATAGGGGAGCCCATAGGAGAGCTCATAGGCAAGCCCATAAGTAATCCCAGAGGTGAACCCAAAGGGGAGCCCATAAGCAATCCCATAGGGGAACCCATAGGGGAACCCATAGGAAAGCCCATAGGGGAGCCCATAGGGGAACTCATAAGCGATCCCATAGGGGAGCCCATAGCAGAGCCATAGGCGAACCTATAGGAGAGCCCATAGGGGAACCCATAGGCGATCCTGTAGGTGAGCCCATAGAGAAGCCCTTAGGGGCTGCCTAAGGTCTGCCATAGGTTCTGCCATAAGGGATCCCATAGATTCCTCCCTAAGGGATCCCTTTGGTTCCTCCGTAGGGATATCCCATAGGCTCCGCCATATGCTCTGCCAAAGTTCCTTCATGGGTCTCCCATCATTTCCTCCATAGGGTCCTCCATAGAGTCCTTCCTATGGGCCTCCATAATGTCCCCATTGATGCTTCCAAGTTTCCCCATAGGGGTTTCCATAGGTTCATCCACTGGCATATTTGTGGGGAGTCATAGGTACTTCCCTTTCTCCTCCATAGGCCCATCTAGGGGCAGCTCCATAGGTACATCTAGAGTGGGTACATAAGTACCTTCATGGGCGGCTCCATCATACATTAATGGGTGCCTCCATGGTGTGTCTATAGTTGGGTCCATAGGTGAATCTCTAGGGCTACCCATATAGATGCATTCATAGACTCCTACACAGATGGGTCTTAGGTGCCTTAATAAATATGGTATACGGGTCTCCCTGGTGGCGCAAGGGGTTAAGATGCAACCTATGAGTCCATCTGCAGTCACTGCAAGCATGAGTTCGATCCCCGGCCAGGGAGCAACCCACATGGCACAGCAGACCTCTCCTGATTCGCCCGCTGCTCCCCTCAGCAGTGTACTCCAGTCAATCTGCCCGTTCTGTTCCCCACTCTGTCTCTGGTGAAATCTCTCACCCCCCACACCTCTGAACTGTACCCCAGCTCTTATATGCACAAATAAATCTTAAAAAAAATAATATGATATGTACTGTCTTCTCATACTGGAGTATCTGTTCCAAATGCAAAGCACTTTGAGAGAAAGGAGCAATGTCTCAAGACTGCCAGATGGAGTGAATTCCAGGTCTCCCATGTGGCTCCACTTGACACACAGCCCTTAAAGTGTAACATCTAGAAGGGATGACAATTAAGTCGTTGGCTAATGTTTGACAGGGAAACTATGAAAAAAAGAGAAAATAAGGATAGTCCACTCCTCCATTTAGGATTTCCAGCAGGAGAAAACAGAGGCAACCTTTTAACACATAATGGCAAAAGGCAGATTTAATCCCTCACAATAGAAGGATACTCGAGTTCCTGAGTAGAATCAATAACAAATTCACACCTATATAAAGTATAAAAGTAGAGTAATGGCAAATTAGTAAAGCAGGGGCCTCCCCTGGTGGCGCAGCGGTTGAGTGCTGGGCTGCAAAGCTGCCCACAGTCTCTGCAGCACAGGTTTGTTCCCCCTCCGGCTGCCACCCGCTGCTCCCCTCAGCAGTGTGCTTCGGTCCTTCTGCCTGCTCTGCTCCCCGCTCTGGCTCTGGTGAATTCTCTCACTCTCCCACACTTCTGACTGTACCCAGTGCTTGTATAAATAAATAAATCTTTAAAAAAAATTAGTAAAGCATTCATGAAGAAGCAGATAGTAATCAATTACAGTTATAGTAGAAATCTTCTCAGTTACAATATAAGTCAAGAGACAATGGAATATGCTGTTGATCCTTGAACAACAGGGGTTAGGGACACCTACTCACCCTGACATTTGACTTATTTTACATAGTGTTTTTGTAGATTACTTCCTGGACTTGAGGTTGGAAATGGGGGACAGACCCCTGCCCTCAAACTTTACTCTCTAACAGAAGAAACTGTTACTAATAGTGATAATAAATATTAAGTGATGCAAAATAAACTGGAAGATCACATAACATAGAACAGGACAAATACATCATGTTTATTAAAGTAATTAGAAATCCAGGAGGGAGCTGTTCTATTATAATCTGTTCATCAGTTTCTCTCTTGCTAGTTTTCACCAATGATTGGTTATGGAAGTTAGTGGTATATGAGCTAACAAGTTTTAGAGGTGGAATAATGAAGTAGGAAATACATTTCATTCACTTAATTGTCTTATCTTTGACAGGCCTAATACAATTTCATTACAGTAGTTTATATTGTCAAAATACGAATGTATAGAGTATAAGGCAATGCCTCATTCTCATGAAATATTATTAAATCTTTGAAGCTTGATATGGATTGTGTGGGTGATAATTATACAATGCACACAGTTTGCAAAATACACTGTCGACTGACATAAGCGATTTTTTTATTTCCCTGTAGTTGATGTCATACTATATTCATATTGCCAGGAATATTAGTGTTTTCTTCCACATCATTAAAATGCTTGCAAACTAAATGTGTTTTAAAACTTCAATGGGCTACTTTAAAATTCTTACCATTTTCCTTAGCATTTCCCAAATGTACTAAAAATGTTTACACTTTGGAATATTGGAGACATACTGTAAGAGCGGTCTGTAAAAGTCATTTATTATATGTGTATCTTTTGTCAATAATTCATGTCTTTTGAGATTTCTTAATCATGACACAGAAAGTTCATTAGTCAGATCTCCAGACAACTTTGTGCTAATATTAGACATCCTTAGCATAATATGAGGAATATGAATTATTCATGTGTTATAGGTGGATTAAATGAAGTTATTTTATAGACCATTCCCTAGACTCGAGAGACCTCTATGGATTTGTGTCTGTTATAATTTACTAGACCCTCTGAATGGTATCACCAAGCAGTCAGTCCTGAAGAATAGACAGGTATATTGAAAAGTGTATGTCATTAAATCTCCCATTCTCAAAATAGTTGAAGATCTTCAACATATGATATACTATGGAAGCCCCACAGTTCTACTTTTAGGTATACTCCCATATATAATGCATATATAAGTTCACCAAAGATTTACACTAACATGTTCACAATGGCATTATTCACATTAAAATTTTTCTGCTCTCCACCTGCCCATCAATATTAGAATAGTTATCTATGTTGTGCTACATTTATGCAATGGCATAAAGCACTAAGAATAAACAAATCAGAACTATATAAATATGCTAGATCTCATGAAATGAAATTAAGAAGCCAGACATAAACAAAAGTACATAAGGAACAAATTCCATATATCACACGAGGGGGGTTTCTGAAATTCTGAGAATGCTTGATTGTAAAAATTTAGCTACCAGTACATTCTTTTGCATGCATATTATTATTCAATAAATAACTGAGAAAAGGAGAGAGCTAACTATCAAGATGAGGAGAACCCTAAAGGACAAAGCCCTCAAACTATAGTCTATATTATCATTAAGCAACACAGTCTATACTTAGTAACATCCACTCAGAAAATACTAATGCAAACTTAGGAAACTACATACAAAATTGCAATATTAAACACTGATCTAAATCTTACAATACCATACATGATTGGCATAAGTAAGAAGTATGCAGGGGATTAAAAATAAGACTATCTCACTGGCTATTCTTAGTGTATACATGTATAAATTACAATCTGTGTCTTGCAGGTGACTGTTACTTGAAGGACTGGTCTTCATGGAGCTTGTGCCAGCTGACTTGTGTAAATGGGGAGGACCTAGGCTTTGGTGGAATACAGGTCCGTTCCAGAGCAGTGATAATACAAGAGCTAGAGAATCAACATCTATGCCCAGAGCAAATGTTAGAAACAAAATCATGTGATGGTGAGTTCTTCTACAATTTATGAAATCTTTTTAGTTTTGTGTCCAGTCATGTGTCCCTGATTCTGAAACCAAACAAGGACAACACAAAGAAAACCACGTAACAATATATATGATGAACATAAATTCAATAATCCTCAAGAAAAAACTAGCAAAACAAATTCAACGATATGTTAAAAGAATCATATACCAAGGTTGAGTGGGGTTTTTCCAGGGACACTGTGATGATTCAACACACGCAAATCAGTACACGATACACCACATTAAAAGGATAGACAAAGATCATATAATAATCTCAATAGCTTCAGAGAAAGCATTTGGCAACATTCAACATCAATTTATGATCAAAACCTTCACCAAAATAGGTATAGAAATTATCTCAACATAGTAATGCCCACATATGATAAAACCCACAGCCAAAATAATACTTAATGGAAAAAAATAAAGCTTTTCCTCAGATCGGGAAAAAGACAAGAATGTCCACTCTCACCATTAGTACTCAAAATAATATTGGTAGTCTTAGCCAGAGCAATTAGACAAGAAAAGGAAGTAGAAGTATGAAGATAGGAAACTATCACTGTTCACAGATGACGTGATAAATATACAGAGAATGCCAGCGACCCCAGTAAAAAGCTATTAGAAATGAATAAAGCATCAGTCTATAAAATTATTATACACAAATGTGTTGCATTTCAATGCATAAATATGAACTAGCAAAAAGAAATCATAAAAAAAATCCCATTTACAATCACATCAAAAACAATTAAATACTTTGGTATAAATGAAATACCCATACACTTAAAACTCTTAAGACATCATTGAAAGAAACAGATGACATAAAAAATAAGATATTCTGTATTTATGGACTGGGACAATTAACATTGTTAAAAATGACTATTTCCTAAAGCAATATGCAGATTCAATGTAATCCCTATCAGAATCCCAATGGCATTCTTCACAGAAATAGGAAATATCATGAAATTTATTGAGGACTACAAAAGACCCCACATAACTAAAACCATTTTGAGAAAGAACAAAAGTGGAGGTATTATGTGCCCTAACTTCAAACTATGCTATGAAGCATAGCATGATATTGAAATAAAAATAGACACACAGATCAATGGAACAGACTTGAACACCCAGAAATAAACCCACACATATTGACAACTAATTGATGACAAATCGGCCAGGAGCATACAATGGAGCAATCAGTAGTCACCAGAAGGGAAGGGGAAAGAATAATTGGGTAAATTGCAAAAAGGAATCAATTGTATGGGGAAAGGTGGAATTAGATATTTGACGGCGAACATAATATACTATATACCGATGTGGATTTATAATGATGCATACCTCAATCCTAAGCAGTTATAATCAGTGTTTCTTTAAATACTCAAAGATAAGAATCTACCAGCCAAGAATACTTTCTTGTAAAGTACTTTCAGATATGAAGAATAAAACTTTCCCAGAGAAACAAAAGCTGAAGGAGTTCACTGCTTTTAGACCTCCCTTACAACAAATGTTGCACAGAGTTCTGTCTAAATCAATAAAAATAAAGTTCACAAGAATTCCCACAATTCAAAAAGAAATAGGAAATATTTCAACAGGGATAAAATGGCCCAAAGATAGAAATAATTTATGTAAGAGAAAATGTAAATACCCCTGAATATTTTTGTTTAAAATTTTTAGTAATCAGAGAAGTGCAATTTTAATAACAAGATACGGCCTCCCTGGTGGCCTATGGCTTAAGTCTCAGCGCTATCACCACTACAGCTTGGGTTCGATCCCAACCAGGGAGCTGACCCACATATGGCACATCAGACCTCTCCTGTCTTGCCAGCTGCTCCCCTCAGCAGTGTAGTTCAGTAGGTCTGCCTGTTCTGTTCCCCACTCTGTCTCTGGTAAATTCTCTCATCCCCCCCACACCTCTGGCCTACACCCCAGTTCTCCTATGCATAAATCTTTTTAAAAAATATCTAAACAAGAAAGCTTTCCACACTCATAATAGTGACAAATTAAAAATCTGGCAATTACAAATGTTTGTGAAGGTCAGAACAATGGTAACCCTTATTCACTGCTGGTAGATATGGAAATTGTCACCTTTCAGAAAAAAACCAAATGAGCTATATTTTAGTACAGTGTCAGCTATCTCTATGGTGATAACTAGAAATGTCCTTCCTGGATAGTTCCCATAGAGCAGCACTAGAAGATTTGTACAAAATTGTCCACTGAGGCACTGTTATAATAGCAAAATTCAAAACAACCTAAAAATCCACTCAGAAAATAGCTGATTTGTGATATTTAGCACAGTGGAATTCTATATAGCAGTCAAAATAAGTGAGCTGAATCTACATTAAAAATAGAAATATTTCATGTGTAATGTTGACTGTTAAGTTTCAGAATATGTAGTGTATGACGCTTTGGAAGTTGCATACTAAATATGAATATATATGAAGTATAGTTATATAGATTTTTATAAAGAGGGAGAAGGAGGAAGGAAGGGAGAGAGAGAGAGAGAGAGAGAGAGAGAGAGAGAGAGAGAGAAAATGAAAGAGAGAGCGCGAGAGCATGCAGGCATGAGAGCGCACCCCCAGAAGCCTTATGTCTACTTCAGAATAGTGGGTATTACTTGACAGACAGGGAGAGCAGATGAGGAAGAAATATAACAGGACATCAAGTTTGTTATTTTTTTTCTAACTGATCAATAAGCAAAAGAAAACTAAAGCAAATATGGCCAAATTGTAATATTTGCTACAATTCTATGATGCAAAATTGAAAATATATATACTTTTTAGTTATTCTCCATCCTTGTCCATATGTGTAATGTTTTATAATACTTAAAATTAAAACTCTAGATTCACATCAGATAGTTTGACAGTAGGCATGGAAAAATCAGTTGGGATTTAGTTATACATCTGGAATTTCATAAAATTATTTGGCAACTTCATGACAATAAATTAACATGGAATCACTTGGCACTTTACAATGGTTTTCAAATGTTTTATTAATGCTGTGTATCTGTGATTGTTATTCTGTTCTGGAGAACAGAATCCTTGTTAACATCTGTGTGCCCGCAGATGGACAGTGTTATGAGTACAAGTGGATGGCCAGTGCTTGGAAAGGCTCCTCCCGAACAGTCTGGTGTCAAAGGTCAGATGGTATAAATGTAACAGGTAAATCTTCAATCTCTCGTTTTTTAAGAGACTATTGGTAACACACATGAAACTAGTAAAAGAAAATAAGGAAACAAAGATATTCATTCAGTATTATTACATGATTAAGATTCAGGACAGCCGTATACCTGTCTGTTGACCAATAACAAATTATTTTTTGTACTGTTTCAAATTCTTCCTCACCCATTTTAGTCATTGCTGCTAGACTCTAATTAAAACACTAACTCAAATAAAGTAAATTATCAAATACTTTTTCCTTAACATTTCGTATGTTAACTCAGTATGTGCTAAAAAAATATATTGTCTCTGGTAAATTCTCTCACCCCCCACACCTCTAACCTACGCCCAGTTCTCCTTGACTGTATCTGTATTGACTGTATTTGTTTCTGTGCCCTAAAGGCAACACAAATACAGACCAAAAATATTAATAAGGGAAATATTACACAGATCCAAAAAAATCTTGCTTGAATTTAGAGATCTATGGGTGATCTTTATTTTTACTAATAGGGAAGAGATATTGGTAAATCTCAAAACAAGAGCATCAGAGCTGTTCACCTATTTTGTCCTCACTCAAAAGTCATGGTGCATCCAAACAAGAAAGCCAAAGGAAGAGCTTTTTTGAATATCCTTTGACCTTTGTATATCCCCTACAAACAAATACAAGGAATTTGTAATAAGACCCTTTTTAATGGGAAGAAATTTGGCAACTGCAAATGTTCCAGAAAGAAACCAAGTCCAGAACCAGAAACTTACCCTCAAGCAAATGAACCCAAAGATCTAAGATCGCTCCTAAAACAATTTATTTGTATAGATCTAATCTAAAGGACTCTTCATAGCATAGGAACAGTGGAGTAGCCACTTATTTCTTAAGGGGACCTGCTGACTTGCTGTCATTGTTTGACCCTCCAGTTCTGGCAGGGACAAAAAGTAATGTGCATTTGGGTGCCTCTGAGTAATGTCCATTTATAAATTTAGCTGTAATATATACGGTGAGATAACAGCAGTAGGGATCAATGTGCATTTTGAAAAGCATCAATTTTTATATTGAATTTTAAATTACCTGGATTTATTGAAGCCTAATTACTTATTTCCTCCCTGTAAAAGCTGGAGCAGGATGTCAAATTGTACTATTGGAAAGATAAGATTTTATACATGAGAAATCTGTATCAAGAAACCCTTGATAATAACAACTCCCAATAGACAAATATATAATACAGGGAAGACACCTACCAAGAAACGCTTTGCTCTGTTATTTTCTGGGAGAAAAGTCTCTCCCACTCACACCACTGCAACAAGTACAGAGGAGCTAGGGGCAAGGAAGCATAGATTCTCAACTGGTTATGGAAGTGGTCCACTTAACTTGGATATTGAAAATACATGTCCACATACTTCCAACAATTCAGAAGGAATTTTAGAGTTTTCACAGAGGGTCCTATTTGCTTAAAGTTTTCCCCAAATATGGATGCTAATGATAAACATTCTTTTCCCACCACAATTGAAGCTATTCTCTAACACAAAGGCAATTTTAAAAAACTTGCTTGTAGAAATCATATTTTTAATACATTAAAGTATCCAATGTATTTCTCTTGTTGTAATACTATTTAATACCAAAAAGTCAATATGTAAATTATTTGTGATAAACTCTGTGCACTCTTTTTCCATCTTTTTAGGCAAGATTCCTTATGAGAAATAGAAAGCATGTAAAGCATATTAACCACCTTGATTGATGACTTCATTTTTATGAATAGTTGTCCTTCTAAGAAACTTAAGATGTTGCTTTCCTTTTTCTTCATGTTTAATGATAATCACTTCAATACAGCTATTTAACTGCAATTGCCTTGCAAAGACTAACTTCCATAACAATTTTGCTATGAATATTTTGTTTATAATATTGAAAAATAGGGCAAAAAATTAACAATAGGCACCTTTGATTAAATTCCATAAATACAGGAAAACTTTGCTTTGCCAAAATTGTTAACCTGAACAAGAATAGTTTGAAACTACACATTCCCTCCATAACACACCAATATTGTTCCTTTATTACATCTATCCTTATCCTAAAACCTCAAATATTTTACACCACAAGAAGGAAGAAAAGGGATAGTGAGCCCCAGTGTAAGTTTAAACAATAGTGTAGACATGCCACTTAGTAGCTACATTTGTATTCCTTTCTATTCATGCCCCCCCCAAAAAAATCCTCCATCAAAAGGAATAGTGATTTTCTCAAATCAAAATGTGCATTATTTATTTGGTAGTCACATAAAGAGAAGTCTTGAGGGAAATATAACTCTTCCTATAGCCAAAGAAGAATTTTAATTTTCTTTCAATCTGATTTTTAATGCTGGACTTTTCTTCATGAACTACCATAGATACAGTTTGTGGACAATTAGTGTTTTCAAAGTAGCAACTATAAAATTATCCTTTGAAGACCTGACCCTCTACTGAGTGCCAGGCTTATGCAGTTTCCTCTGGATAAGAAGGACCTCAAGTTCCTAAATGAAGTGGTCATAAGTAACCAAATATTTCACTGTCAATTGCCCTCAGAAAAATTTGTGGGATTCCCAAAGTGGTTCAGGATTCAAAGACAAGTCTGTAACGGTGTATTCTATCATTGCTAGAGATGCTACTTGTCAAATGTGATTTTTTGTTCTGCAGGGGGCTGCTTGGTGGTGCGCCAGCCTGATGCTGACAGGTCTTGTAACCCACCGTGTAGTCAACCCCACTCGTACTGTAGCGAGGTATGTGTGAGTTCATTAGGGCAGACAAGCAAGCTTTATCTGTCACCCATTGCCCTTATGCAACCCATTCCACACCCCCCCCCAAAAAAAAAAACTGTCTTGAGGCATAGAATTCTATTTTAGACCTATCATCAGTATAAACAATTCTAAATGTACTTGCTCCTACTGTTAGTGTCAGTTTGTATTCAGTAGTAAACTATTCATTTCTATGTAGTTTAGTCAGAAATCATATGTAGTAAATTACCAAGACAGTACTTCTTTAAAGCCTTCTCTTCAAATCAGGCCTGTTATGCTTTCAAAGATCTCCACAGTATAAATCTTCTCTTCTGCAGACCAGGACATGCAGTTGTGAAGAAGGATACACTGAGGTCATGTCTTCTAATGGGACACTTGAGCAATGCACACTCATCCCCGTGGTGGTGATACCCACCATGGAGGACAAAAGAGGAGATGTGAAAACCAGTCGGGCAGTACACCCAACCCAACCCTCCAGTAACCCAGCAGGACGGGGAAGGACCTGGTTTCTACAGCCATTTGGGCCAGGTGAAGTAACTAGACAGTGTTGATGTGGAACCCATTAGTTACATATTTAAGCAATGCCAAAGCTTTACAATTGAACCAGTATTTTCATATCAGCTATTTACTATTTCATTTCTTCTCATTTATTCTAATACTGCCATACACACACACACGCACACACACAACTATTCTTATAAAAGTCTTTATGCTCAATCTTCAGAGAAATTAAACTTTCTTCTGAGAAAAGTTTTACGATTGATACTACTTATTTCAATCTCAGTTCTAAATATAAAATATAATTATTTTCACCTTCAAATGGTGATGGGGGAAATGAAAATGGGTGGTAGAGTAATGTGCATCATCATTCAGAAGAGGAACAAGTATAATTATAAAGACATTCAACAATTTTTCATTTGGCCAAGTGGTAGTAATGTGAACCTTAAATAGGAATGTCAATAATGCAGCACTCTGCCAGGGCAAACTTGGTAGGCAGACCAGTTTATATCAACCTTTAGAGTTGGCACACTCAAATATTTGGAATCTATGTTAGCACTAGATATAAAGGGATAGGGATGGAGCCTTCTTGTCTGGATAAGATGATCTAAATTTAGAGGCTGACCAGCCCCTAGTCATATTAAACAGACAACTCAATGTATCTAGTAATGGTCTTGAAGCCAATACAGGCAAAAGATTGAAGGCTTGACGAAGTACTACTCCCTAGTCAACACGGCTCCCTTGTTGAATTCAACACTAAGCTCATCCCAAAACTAAACTGGTACTTGAAAATGGGCTACAAGAGTTACATGCTAGTAAGATCATGTCACTTTTTCTCACCCCCTTGCCATGACAAAAAGATATATACCCAGGCAAAGTCAGGCATAGACTATAACAGTTCTAGAAACATGAGGAGGAATGCATTTGCATAACTAGTACATTTTTATATTTAATGAAATAAAACACTTTCCCTTATTGAAGAAATCATTGTTGGAATTTAAGTATTTTAAGTATTTGGGTAATTCACATTTAACCATATTATCCCTGCCTTGATAAGGTTTTTAGCTGAAAATACATTTTAATTTACAAAGCTGACTTGTCTATGTAAGCAGGGGAAACTTCTCTCAGTGTCCAAGACACTGGCAAATGGCCATTAATGATCTTGATCTTGACCTTGACCAAGAAAGCATTCAAGAACATCTCACATCAAAACTGGCTTTTGAATAAGAAAAATTGTTGTCATTTTTAATTTATTAGTTTCTAACATGAATATATATATATATATATATATATATATATATATATATATATATATATGGTATATGTTCTGGAAAAGTATACTTAGACCTTGTTCTTGATTTCTGAAAAACCCCAAAATATTATTTATTATAGAATATTATTTTATTGGAAGAACTCTCAGGGTAGAGAAACACAACAGTGGAAAAGCTCTTTTAATTTTTAACCCAGGTTTGAATTTTAAAAATCTTTAGAATTGTAAAGAAAAGATATTTAGATCATTAACTTAAGAACTAAGCTAATTTCAACTCTAAGGGGAAAAAAATTACAGTACTGATTTGCTTTTGATGCCTTCTAAGTATTCAATCAACCACAGCATCTATGGGATCAATTTACCAAATTTATAATTTTCAGATGTTTAGTTGTAGGTATGCAACAAAATATGTGTTGATATGAAGATCAAATTAAGTTACACAGCAACTAGTAGTTATCTTCTGTTTGAGGCCTATTCAGAACATAAATCTGAGAAGTTCAAAGAGAATGATACCAGAAAACCAAATGCGAAAACTCCCTGTCATGTCTGTTTCCAGAAAATGGAAAGGGAGAAATCAATTAGAGATCCTTTTATATGTTAATAAAACTAGGTTATTTTTTGCAAATGAAATTGTCTAATCAATTTCAAAGCACACTGTAAGTTTAAGCTAGATAAAAGATGAATTCTAAAAAAAATTAAATATAATTTACTTCCACCGCACCTAGAAAAAAGCTAAAAATGACAAAGTTCATGTGCAAATATCTGTCTTCATCAACTCTAGGTTGTAGAACTTGCTTGAATTATTTCTTCCTATAATTGTCATTTTCACATAGAATGAAAAGAAAATGGTTATGTAGCAACACACATATAGTGGATTTGAATTAAAATTCAGATAAGCAGAAGCAAAAATTTAGACATACTAACTTGGAATCTGAACACCAATTGAAAGCTTTATTACTTTTTAATTCAATTCTCATTGATCATTTATCTTTAATGAAGCAGCATCTAACATAATAGCAGCTTTGCATTAATCATTAACTGGGCCTAAGCAATAATTCATTTTGTGTTTTGAAAGAACTTGGTCACATGTGACTGGTCATTGGTCATAGTTAAAGAGTGTAATATATATAGTAGACTAATATAAATTAATGACTAATATCCATTCTTCTTAGATGGGAGACTAAAGACCTGGGTTTACGGTGTAGCAGCTGGGGCATTTGTGTTACTCATCTTTGTTGTCTCCATGATTTATCTAGCATGGTGAGTGTTTAAATATTTTAAAATCTAAGTGGATATATAGTCTCTCAATTTCACAGGGAACACTTTTGACCATAACACAGGAATAGCAAACTAATGTCTCAAATCATCATGCCACACTACTGTTTCTCTGAACTTCTACATAAATATGGCTTTAATCTTTAATCTGAAAACTAGCACAGCTAAACCAGTTCATTTCTGAAAAGGAACCAGAGTTGCCCCATATCACCTGCTCATGTATGTTCTCCTTGGTTATGCAACAGAATATAGCTTCATGTGCTTATGGCGGAGTGTAGATTTGTATATTGAGTTACTAGAAGACATTAGGGTAACACCTCATCTTATTAATTCTCTTTTTAAACATATCTTATTTATAAATTATAGATTATTTATAAAGGTTACTGGCCAAATATAAATGATTATATACTGTAATGTTATTTCCATTGTTAGTGCTAGAGAAATTCCATTTGGATATTTTATCTTTTACAGGGTAATAAAATATTTGAAGTGTTCTGTTTCAGGTTTATTGAGAGCATAAAGCTAAGAAATTCAAAGATAATAGAAAATCAAATTTGAAGGTGGAATTTAGGCAATCATACAGATTAGATCAGTATGTTTCAAACTTTCATTTTAATCAAAGAAATTTACAATTGTGATTAATTTTTCCTCCCAATTTTAACTATTTGTTTACAGCAAAAAGCCAAAGAAACCCCAAAGAAGGCAAAACAACCGACTGAAACCTTTAACCTTAGCCTATGATGGAGATGCAGACATGTAAAATAGTACTTATCCCGACAACACCCAATTTCAGCTTTTTGACTTTGCAGTAGATGTCAAAAGACCACAAAGGTTTTCAAACGGCGTGGATTAAAATGCATTGCAACTTTTTAAAAGAGTGTTATAAAAAGAAGAGCAACAGTCACAGTGCTGTTGGAGATATTGACACATACCACTTATATAGAGATCATCAGTGCTGAGAATTCTAGGAAATTTAGTTGAATACATGATGCATTCCGGAGTTGTATGATCTTTTCTGAAGTCTATCCAACTGACAATTCACTTTCATCCCCCAAAAATGGTGGTGAAATTGTCTGGTTAGGATGCCTGATGCAAGCCTCTGTCTGCAGTGTTAACCCATAATAACATTTAGCATGTGGAGTTTATACCAAGGTCTCTACGATAATATAGTCAAACATAACAACATGTATACTCAATTGAATGATACACATTATTATGTCAGATTATGTACTGGTTAATAAGCAATTTTAATGGTGAGTCATAGAAACTCTCAGCTGAGCAGAAAACCCATTGAATTAATACAGCAACTTAGTGGTGGGTGGTAGCTTCTATTGACCTGCATTTCAGAGGCACAGACTTTTTTAAGACTTAATTTTTGACTCTCTCCAAAGTATGAATGCTGGACATGTACTAGTATCTTAGAAGAGTGCTCAAGTTCAGTATTTTATAGTGGTTATTGTCTGGAAAACTAATAATTTCCTTGTGTTAATACAATATGTTTCTACTTTCCCTAATTTTCAAACTGGTTGCCTGCCTCTTTTTTGCTAAATGGAAGGCACATTTTTGCACTATATTAGTGCAGCATGATAGGCACTTAACCAGTATTGCCATAAACTGCCTCTTTTCATATGGGATGAAGACATCTGTGCTAGCAGTGTCATGGAGACATTTACACGTTCTTGTATCCTGAAGAGAGTAAAGTTCAGTTTGGATGGCAACAGGATGGAATTATCTATTCTATCTGCTGTATACACTTTTCCTCATCGCTGCAGCCATTGTGAAATTGACAACATGGCGGTAATTGAAGTGTTTTAAGTAACGAACTCATTAACCCTCCAAAAGATGGATTCCTCTAGTTGGTTTTTAATTGTACTTTGAAGGCTGTTTATGATGAGATTTTTATATTTGTTATCTTTGTTAAAAAAAGAAAAGAAAAGAAAAAAAGGAGCTGGTTGTTTTTTTTAATTTTGAACAGATGGAGAAAATGTACCGATAATTTTTGTAACTAAGAGAAATCAAAATTGTGTGTTGATTTTTCATCCTGATTTTTCCTAGTTTCAGATTGAATATATTTCAAAATTCATAGTTTGTCTTTCTCATAAAGTTTGAAACAGTCTTTTTAATGTATGATTTCAAAAACTCAAATTTTAAAAAGGGAAGAATAAGTATTTTGTACAGGACTTCATTTAAGTATCTAGACGAAGGATGGCAAGCTTTTTCTGAAGAGGGCCAGCAGATAGTAAATATTTTCAGCCAGGACTAGGTTGTACCTTCTCTATTCTAACATTGTTAGAATGCAGCCCTAAACAATACACAAAGAAGGAACATGGCTATTTTCTAATAAATCATCGTTTTTAACAAAACAGCAAGCCACATTTGCTGACAGCTGGTTATAGTTTTCTGACCCCTGGTCTGGAAGTTTTTTTCATTGATAACTCATTGTCAGCTCTGATTTTCATTCATTTACCCTTAGACTGTGATCAGTGTTTAATTTCAAAGGTGAAAAAGCAGTCACTAATTTTGTCGCTGTACTGGAAGTAACTATATTTTTCACAAAAGTAACCCTGGAAATGTCAAAGTGAAAAAGAAATCTAACTTGGCAGACTTCTTTCATATGAAAAGAAAATTCAAATGGTGCATTAAAAAGCAATACCATTTTTCAGGCAATACGTACTGCAACAACCTTTGAGAGAAGGGAGGACACTAGGTCGCCAGGTCTTTTACAAACAGTGTAACGCTATCTTAAGCATAACTATAAAAGTGGATTGAACTGTAAGGCAATTTAACTTCATACTAGAGTTTGGACTCCCCCTGCTGTTCATTATAGTATTTGCAAAGATAACAAAAGACATTAGGATGTCATAGTCCTCCCCCAAACAGATTTCTACATATTTCACAAAGAATTAAACGTGGTACTAATTCCTCAGTGTTCATTGTAGTAGACAATATAAATCATTTCAAAGTAAACAGGTGGTCAAAAAAGATGAGAATTTCACTTTAAACCAAAGGATTTAAACAAGGGAAAGCATAAAAACAAATTCCATTTCATCTGTCATTGATGAGAAAGATAAAAATAATATTGACCCAAAAATATTGGTTGTCAATATACACACTCAGGGGTCTTCTACATAATCCTCAAGTTGATCTTTTTGAACAAAATAAACTCCATTTGCCAAAATGAGAAATAATCTACTGTAGCTACTTGAAGAAATCAACAGCCTTATGAAATTCATGTTCAAAATTATTGAACAGAATAAACTATTGTTACTACTAAGGCTAGACCTATGATACTGTAAAAATGGCATTAATTTAGAATGTGGATCAGTATCACTCTACCTATATTTGTCAGAATTAAATTAATGAATAGGTAGAAACTATGTTTTGAAATTACACAATTTCATTTGAAAATTGATTACACATATAACACTGTATATCTGGAGGAGACACAGTTTAATGTGAGCTGACATGAGGGAAAATATTGCAAATTCATTGTTAGGATAAGCATTGAATGGCCTCTTGTTAGTTGGAAGGAAGGGACTGTAGCTTGCTGGAGTCCTATAACCTACAAATGAAGGATACTGTATTCATGTTATAACATAATAATGGCCTTATTCTCGTTGCTGGCATGAGTCAATAATAAGTTGAAAACTTTACTGGAATTTCATCAAAACTTTATTCCTCCTATTCATACTAAGAATTGAGGCAGGGAATATAGTCAACTAGTCTGTTGACACTTTTGCCTTACTGAAATAGTCTGTCAGTCCACAAAAACTAAAAACTGCTTAAGGTCTGATTTTCAAAAAAGAAAAAAAAATACCAACAATGTGTTATACTATGTTACCAACACTGTTTCACTATAAACCACATAGATGTGACATACCTAACCTCCTGAAAAGTGTTGATTTGATTATTCATTGATACCTACTCTAGGATATGACCATAATCCTTATTTCAAAGCCTTTTCGAGGCCAGTATGTATAACTAAAGCTAGTTGAGAAGGAGTGCATAAAAGCATGTTCTTATTTATAACAAAGCACAAATTACTAACAGACATTTGTTAAATTATCACATAAAATACTCTGCCAGGCACTGTAAAAAAAATAATAATGGTTTAAGTTTACAAATGTAACTAAGACATTCAAAAGAAGGAAAACTTGTTTAATAAGTAAAAATATCACTTAAATATCCTTTCCTTTACTATAGATTTGTTTTTTAATGTGGTTCATATTTTTCCTTATATAACAGAAATGCCTCAGGCCCTGCTGATAGCCTTCTATTGCATCCGTCCTCCACCTTCAGTGGCAGTGGTCATTGTGACTTAATCAAAATTCTCTTAAGTTCCTGGACATTGTCATTTATTTAGTTTCTTACAGGAAGCCAGCAACACCTTTCACAAACTTTTTCACCTCCTCTAAATTGCCTCTTGATAATTTTTGCTTCCTGATCTCTGTCTACTCTACTCTCCTATCAACAACTGATCTTGTCTGTTTCCCTCAGAACTTTCTGCTAAACATGCTCAAATTTTAAAGAAAAAGAGGTGAAACCTGTATTTCTTTCGTATTGAAGTCAAAGTGTCACTTAGAGTGTAAACATTTGATTTGAACAGAATGTACTAGTCAAAGACATGAATAAAAAGGTAAGAAAACATATGGAAGACTGCCTCTACCAAAAATAATACCTATTCTCTAAAAAGGCAATTCCTATGCTCATATGAGTACTGCCCAGTCAGTACACACCTACTCCTCCCATCTCTATCCTGCCTCTTAGTCCATGCCCCACCCTAAAAGACTGGGAGGGAGACCTGTACCTTGCAATACTGTAAACAAAGGAGTTTTGTGCTTAGGCTAATTTGAGGTCTGAATAGATTTGCAAAAATCATTCTTTGCAGATGATCTGAGATCTCACTATTTGGAAAAGTGAATTTTAACCCATTTCTTGCTCTGTCTCCCTCCAAAAAATGAGGGTACTGAAAGGAGAGCGGTCCATGAACAAATCTATGAGGAACCTTGTCAGAGAATGATCTTCTGATTCTAGTTTAGACGTAAGAACTGAAACATCTTTCTGTCCCACCTGGTCCTATCCTCTGCCATGACACCTGAATGTGGAGGATGGACCTAGCAAGGAGTTACTTTTTATAAAAAGGATGTTTTGCAGTGTGATTTGGTAATTCTATATCTAGTAGGGACACTGAAAATGGTTATATCTACATTAAATAGGTAAAACAAATGCTAAATGAAGTTAATTTTGTAGTTTTACTACTTTTTTTTTTTCATGCTTCTACTAAGCCAGATCTTGGAATGGTCAGTATAGGAAGTTTTTCAGTTTGTGAAATTTTAGTTTGTGTGAGTCATTGTTTTCAGATTTCAAAAATCTCCGGTCAGTTAGAATACAGCTGGGTGTCCGTCTTATTGTTGCGTTTTGAAGTTGTTTTTTAAGCAGTGGTTTCTAGATCGCCTACTTTGAACTATCAATGCACTTCTCCCAACTCTTTTTCAGGAATCTGTTTATTTTTAAAAGTATTAGATTCCCTTTCTGATACTTGTTCCTGCTTATGTCTAGCAAAGAAATTTGAAGAGATCAGTATCTGTCATTGTAAAATGTAAATTGATTAAATTTGCAATCTGTCTTTCTATAAATTATAATCCCCTAAATGTGTTTTTGTTAATTTAATTACCTGAATATTTATTTTGTTTAAATAAGAAGGCAGCTGCCTAATAAGTTTTTGTTAATATTACTTTGTAAATTGTGTAATGTAATTTATTTTAAATTATGTACATTTCTTTTTTAACGCATAAAATGTCTATGTACAATTAACTACAGATAATGTCACTAAGCTTTATTCAGCTAATATAGATGGCATGTGAAAATGTAATAACCTTTTTTTACATTTTCATATGGGTTATTTGTAAATAACTATGTTGCTGACAAACACGAAAATCATTTTCATTCTATTCGTGTGTATCTGATTTAATTTGCATCATTTTCTGCTCAGTGTGGGTTAAATTTTTCTCAGCAAATATCCAGATCTTTTCACTACTATATTGCCCTCCCTGGATCTTTTTTAAATAACTCTAATTTAGAAAGTTCTAAAAATACAAACATTTACTTTAAAAGTTTGCTGAGGCTACCAGATTCTTCATCATGGAAAAAAAGTACCTCCTGGCTTCCAGTCAATTCAAAGAGCACACCTAAGAGAAGAGGAACACACTTTGGAATAGCATTCAGCTCTGCACACCCTCAGTCAAAAGGCAAATCTCTTTCTGTCCCCTCTCCCAATTCTAACAATAATAGACCACACCTAAAACAAGACAGGAACTCACACATCAACAAATTAAGATTCCTTAAATGATGATTCCCATATTAACACATTCAGGAAGGAATGCACAAATTAGGTAAGTTATGCCAGGATAGCTTGAGTTAAAACATTTTCCTAAATAGCTGTCTGCTAAAATATAACAGGGAACCCTTCCAGTGTTTCATATATGGAGCATTCAAAATGTGCAGCTAGCCTCAAATGTTTGATGGTAAAAAAAAAAAAACAACAGTGATTTGCAGTCTCATTTTCTGTATTGTTCATTACAACTGAATCTACATGAAAAACATTTAAGTATCACCCAATTTTATCTGTTGCAAACATATGAACATGACTGGTCTACATTCTATGTTTGCTTTTTCCGCGTCCCGGGTGCTTTCTGTCATTAAACACTGAACATATTCCAAAGAAAAATGCACATCTCAAATGAACAATTCTCAGTGTCAATTACTCTCAAAAGATGTTAGATACATACAAAAATATCAAAATGCAATCGTGCGTTCTCAAGCTGCAGTCCTTTTTCCAGATGACTTCTCCTCCCCCTTTTACCTTTCCTCCACAGTATTTCTCTGCCAAGGTAACTTACGTCAATAATCTGGCATGTCTTCTGCCATATTTTTCCCTTTGATCATATTATCTTATAAACATGATGGTGGGGGTGGGGCCAGGGAAATGACAGGAAACTAGATAGAGAAAAGGGGGAGACAGAGAAATAAGCTCAATTCAGTAAAAACAATTGGAAAACAGCTTCATTTTTTTAAATTCTGTCAAACATGGTAAAATGTCCTTTGTTCTCCCCTTGGCAATAGTAAGGCAAATCTCATAGCGTTTTGGTCACAATTTGAGTTAAGAACTCCCAATCCAGGCTAAAACAAGGCATCTGCCCTCTCATTGCATTTGTTTTTTAATAAATGAGGTAATACTGGTTTACAATTTTGTATGTAAACAAAGGCGGTATAGGATCACGTCTTTTCAGATACAGGATACCACGTCACATCCACCACCAAGGCACCCATAATCTACATTTCCTTGATGAGAAAATTTGAGTAGCTTTTCATCTTTTCAAATACATGTTTGCGGCGCGCAGACCTCTCCTGCCGCCCGCTGCTCCCCTCAGCAGTGTACTTCGGTCCTTCTGCCTGCTCTGCTCCCCGCTCTGGCTCTGGTGAATTCTCCCACCCTCCCGTGCTTCTGACTGTACCCAGTGCATGTATAAACAAAACAAACAAACGAACAAAACAAAATAAATAAAAACATGCCTCTATAAAAAAAAAAAAAAAAAAAAAAAACAAATACATGTTTGCTATTTGGATTCTGTTATTACATGTGAATGCTAAAATAATACTAGTGATGCCAAAATCGTTAATTTTAGACCAACAACTAAACTTTAACTTTTTAATTAGGAAAAAAAAAGCTTTCTGGATTCTATCTCCCTACAATCTACTTGTTTATCCCAGGCATGGTCTCTTACAGTGGCCCTCCTACCTGCTACCCCCAGCATTCTACTTTTTCTTGGTCATGCTAATCCCCCTCTCATGCTAACCCCTTGAGAGCAATGTCAGATGAGGTGATGGAACAGAATCCAATCTTCCATCAAAACCACTCTGTTTCCTGAGCATGCTCCCCTTACTGTACTTCTCAGTGGAACACTCTTCCCTTCAACGTAGTCCTGGCTATTTCACTTGACATTGTTCTCTGTTCAAATGCCATCTCCTGTCAGAAGCCTGCCACACTACTCCCCTGCCCTTATTTAGCTTTCTTTTTTTTTTTTAAAGATTTATTTATTTATTTATACAAGCACTGGGTACAGTCAGAAGCACGGGAGGGTGAGAGAATTCACCAGAGCCAGAACAGGGAACAGAACAGGCAGACTGACGAAATACACTGCTGAGAGAAGCAGCGGGTGTGACAGGAGAGGTCTGCGCACCATGTGGGACCCTCGCCGGTGGCCGGGGATCAAACCGGTGCTGCAGAGGCTGCAGGCAGCTTCGCAGCCCAGCACTCAACCGCTGCACCACTGGGGAGGCCCTTTCTTTAGCTTTCTTTTTTTTTTTTTAATATTTGTTTATACAAGCACTGGGCACAGTCAGAAGCACGGGAGGGTGAGAGAATCCACCAGAGCCAGAGTGGGGAGCAGAGCAGGCAGAAGGATGGAAGTACACTGCTGAGGGGAGCAGCGGGCGGCAGGAGAGGTCTGCGCACCACGTGGGACCCTCCTCCAGTGGCCAGGGAGCAGCCGGGGATCGAACCGGCGCTGCAGAGGCTGCAGGCAGCTTCTTCGCCACCCAGCGCTCAACCGCTGCGCCACGGGGGAGGCCCTCTTTAGCTTTCTTGACGGCACCTGGAATTTATCTTTTTGCTCTTGTTTGGCTTTTTTCTCCTCTCATTATATGGAAGTGGCTGAGTCATTATCTGCTTTGTACCTTGCCTTAAATGAAGCTCAACACATAGTAAAATTAATAAATTCTTATTGGATAAGCAAAGAAGAGAATCAGTGAACTGCAAAGCTCATGGACAAAGTTTAGGTTAAACATTAGATCAATTACAAAGAGGGTAGTAATCCACAAATCCATCTAAGCTTAAAGACACCAGTACTCTACCTTCATGAATATACTTTGTATTCACTTCACTCGGCAGAAGTGCGTTTACCTAAAATCCTCAAAAGGCACAATGCTGTGATAACAAAGAAGTTGAAGAAATAAACTATATTATCTGAGACTGGCATCATAAAGGATATTCAAATAAGATGTGGGCTATAAGATTTGGAATCTATAGTGAGAATGGGGTCTATAAGAGAAAATTGGTCATGGTTTTCTCCCAATTTTAATTTCATTGTGTGGCAAATTCCAGTGAGAGTATATGAAGGAGATGGAAATTCTGGAAAATGAAGAAGGGAGGCTGATTACAGAAGGCAATTGCAAATGTCTATAAAGCCCTTGTTGCAGCATAAAAAAGCAGCCTGACTATTCTTACTCAGTTCTAAATTATAGTAATTCATCTTGAATAAATAATCAAATGATATACTATTTGGTTTAAAACAGAAATAAAACATAACCATAAAATTTCAATTCAAAGTGCTTAACACTTCTCATAACTCACTTTAGGACAATAGAAGAAGACCATGTATATATATTAACACACCATTTAAAATCTATTCCTTGGGGCCTCCCCAGTGGCACAGCGGGTTGAGCGCCTCGCTGTGAAGCTGTCCACAGCCTCTGCAGCATGTGTTCTATTCCCGGCTGGCCAGGGAGATTCCCACTTGGCACAGCAGACCTCTCTTCCTTCCCTGCTGCTCCCCTCAATGGTGTCTTCAGTGCATCTGCCTGTTCTGCTCCCCGCTCTGTCTTTGGTGAATTCTCTCACCCTCCTGCGCCTCTGACCTATACCCCAGTTCTTGCAAAATAAAATCTTCAAAAATAAAATAAAATCTATTCCTTGTAGAAAATAATGTCCTTTATTCCTGGAATTTCAAAATCATTGTCAGCTGGTAAGTTTAGAAAGTAATATGGAGGAGAAAGTAAACATCATAAGGGGAGGTGCAAGCCTGTGTCCCACGCCTTCATAAACAATGATTATAGTGAAAACCCTGTCAAACCATATCCCCAGTGACTCCGCAGCTGCTACTCTGACAGCTGATGTATAACTGTACCCTTTCATAATTTATCTTTATGAAAGGTTCACTCATTTATATTATTTGTTAGGTGGCTTTTTAGTTTACCACTTTTTATCATCTTTGCCAAAGGGTGACAAGTCTTTTCTTCTGATGGCACTACCATGCTATCTATGAGAAAAGTAATTCATAAAAAATAAATTAAGTAGTATGTATCCTGGCTGTAAGAGGAGGCATAGTGGACTGGATTTTGATCCGATTATTTGTATAAAAGATCCTTTAAAAATTACAAGATTTTTGAATGTAAATGCTGATGTCCATAGGGGGTAATCAATTTTAAGTGTCTCCTATAAAAAAAATAAAAACTGAAAAAAAAATTAAAAACTGATAGGCTGAAACTGACTGGTAGTTATCATGACATAAATGCATGTTGTGAAAAAATTATGACAAGTGCAATCATAAAAAAATAAAGAAGCCTTTGATACAATTCCTTAGAATGGTCATCATATTGGCATTTTAAAAAGTCAACAATTCCTAGCCAGAAACATTTTCATGTAATTATGACTCTTAATTAAAGCAGATGTAGCAATAAAGTATTACATTATCATGCTTAGGCTACAGGGCCATTTCTAGGCACCGTCCATTGGTAAATAAGTGTAAGAGCAGTACCTACTACCACTGACAATGATCAAGTCCTGAACATCGACAACATTTGTTTAAAAAAGAAAATAAGAAAGGGCCAAAACCTTAATTAAACATTCCATTTTACCTTCTGGAAGCAT